TGTTAACATAAACAATGCTTCTTCTTATTACATGATATATACACAAGTTGTTGAGTACATGGAGACATGTAGTGACAAAAGCAATGCAACACAACCGATTTCCTTCAGGGTTAGTCCAAGATAATTAAAAAAAAACAAATATTGCACCCAGTTTCACCACTCTCAGTCAACTAACTCTTTACACATCGGTGGCTTTTTTTTATTAAGCTATGGCATTGTGTGAAGATAGCATTAGATTTTGTGTGGGCACAACATTAGATGACAAACTTTGTAATTGTTCGGAGCAACATACCTTGAAATAAAGTATTAAAAAATCGGAAAAATGCCCGGCAAAAGATTATCCTATAATGAAATTCAGCTGATATACTACAACCATCAGTTGGGCAAAAGTGTCAACGAATTGTCGGAAAAGTTTTCCGTTAGCCGAAAGACAATATACAATGTCATAAATCGTGCAGAAAACGAAGGAAGATTGGAGTTGAAACGAAATGGTGGCCCAAAGCCCAAAATGACTAAGAATATTGAGCGTATAATTATTAGTAAAATTATGCAAAATCCTGAAATTTCCACAAGGCGACTGGCCAGAGAGCTCGAAGAGGAGTGTGACATAAAACTTTGTCACGAAACAATTCGACGGGTTAAATTAAAAAATGATAATTACTGCAGCAGCAATGCTACAAATAGCATGCCAGAAGCATCCATACCATTTGCAGAAGATGTAGACTCTTCACATCCGCCACCCGAATGTGGGGGTAACATTATTTTATGCGATGAAACTGAAATTATGTTATATTTTAGGGATGGGTCGCCATCCAATTAATCACTAGAAAAGCAGAACATCAGCCCAACAGTCGAATTGGAATAAATGACAATAATGTCAATTTGGTGCTGTGTGCATATCAGGCAAAGGTGTGGTAGACGCACAGCAGTATTTCGACATTAAATAAACATTTGCTAACCATTGGCCAATTTCAGAACCTGTCCATTAAGTAAAAATTAGTAGATTCTTGCTCTTCGCGAACATACCACATGGCTATAATATATAATCATGAGGAGATCCTTATGCAGTATCTGCTCTGGTGCTTCAGGGACATTCATTCCAACCATCATATGGTGGATAAGACTCCCTTACCCATGTGTGTCAGGAAGGATCTGCATAATCTGCGGGATAGAGATGTCCAAAGTTATAAAAGAGAACCTCTAGATCAAGTTGCCTATCGAGCAGGTCTGAATAGCATTCATACTTATGCAGTTGTCGCAGCACTGAACGAATACAGAATGAATGCCGTCCTCGGAGCTCAACCACTCACCCATAGCAGCTAAAGAACATCAGCTGCCAGACAAACCATAATATTCTTGGCCCGTCTCAATTCGTATTGGGCATTTTATCAGGATGATGATCCGCACTCTATATGTGACGTATGCTTAACATATAGAGTGCGGATGTGGCTTCTTTATAAAAATGGCAAAATTTTGGGTATCAACCAGCTCTCAAAGTCCCGACCTTAAAGCCAATAGAATATAACAACAATAAAGTCCAAAAAATATTGGAAAATTAGGACTTTGGCCGACTCGACCATACAAAATATTAAAACTATGAAAATATGTGAATAGAATATTTTTTGTTTTTGTTATATTTTTTATATTTTAAAACTGATATTGTTATTTCTTTTGCATTTTATCTCTCTGTATATATGTTTACAATTATAAAATAAAAATAAATCATAAAAGGATGCTCTATATAAATATATGTTTGAATGTTTGTGGGGGATGTACCAGAAGGAATGTACGGGATTTTCCCGCTAAAATGAAAGCAATATCGGTCAATTTTTTGGCTAGCTCCTATAAAAAGGTACAACCAATTGTTCGATATTTTGGGGAGTTTGGGCGTGGCTTTTTCAAAATATTTTTTTCAATGTCCCAAAATAGGCGTGGATTTTATAAATATTATTTTCAATGTCCCAAAATAGGCGTGAACCTTTTACATCTGAGGTTTCAAATCGTGCTATTGATATACCTGGGTATACGTTTGTTAGGAACGATCGTAGGAGCTGTAGAGGTGGTGGTGTTGGTATTTACATCTTGAAAGGTATCAAGTTTAAGGTTATATTTAAATCTTCGGTTTTGGGAAAATGTGAGTCACTTTTTGTTGAATACTTGTCTGGTGATGCTAGGTTTCTTTTTGGTGTCGTATATTTGCCTCCTCCTGGAGATTTTCTTGTGTTTGAAGTTCTTCACACCGATCTGTTTATGAGATATTCGAACATAACTATCATGGGAGATTTTAACTGCAACATGTTTGATGTTCAAAAGTCATTAGTTGTTCGTTCTGCATGTTTTCGTTTGAATCTGTGTGTTTTGCACAACTCCAAACCCACTCACTTTGATGTGTCAAGAAATTCGACTTCTTTAATTGACTTCACATTACTTAGTGATCTGTCTATGGCTCGTCTTTCTGAACAGGTGATAATTCCTTCGATATCTGACCACTCTCTCATTTTTGTGTCACTTGACATTAAGGCTAATACGGTACTTGAGTTTATTGAATATCGTGATTATAAGAATATTAATTGGGATCAAATTTATTATTGCTTGTCAACTTTTGATTTTAACTGCATGCATGTTGTTGATGTGGATGCGAAATGTTCTATTTTATCTTCTCTTATTGCTCAGTTGTTTGTTTCAGTTCCTGTAGTGCGTAGAAGGATTCATGCTGGTGATGATTGGTTTCGAGTTAATTCTATTGCCTTTGCTTGTTCTTTACGTGACATGGCATTTAGGTATTATCAGCGTAATAAGAGTAGTCAGAGTTGGAACGTTAATTGTAGATACCGTAACAAGGCGAAATCTGTCATCCGTCGTGAGCGTAGGAGATATTATAGCAGTAAGTTTAATGCTATGGGATCGACTGCTTTATGGCGTTTTCTAAGAGGTTCAGGATTTGTGGGTGATAATGATGTTGGTACTGACATTGATGTTGATCTTCTTAATGCTTCCTTTGTTAATAATGACTCACGTGCAAACTATATAGATTCAATGGGATTCACTGAACATGATAGTGGATTTTCTTTCAACTGTGTAAATGTTGAGGATGTTGCTTTGGCGTTGAGTAAAATTAAATCCAAGTCAGTTGGTGTTGATGGTATACCTTTGGACTTCTTGAATATAATTTTTCCATTCATTTCTGATTGTGTTTTGGATTTGGTTAACTCTGTTCTTACGTCTTCAGTGTTTCCATTGTTATGGAAAAAAGCTCGCGTTGTACCAATACCTAAAGTTAATGTCGTTAATTGTGTTGATGATCTTAGGCCTATTTCTATACTTCCTGTATTGTCTAAAGTGTGTGAGCACATTATGAAAGACCAGATGCTGTCGTATGTAAACAGGAGTATATATACAGGTCAATTTGCTTTTCGCAAGAGCCACAGTACTACTGGGTTGTTACTTTACTTGAACTGTTAGAAAGAATTCGAACTCTAATATGGATACTGTTGTTGTGGCTTTAGACCTGACCAAAGCGTTCAATTCGATTTCATATGCTATTTTAATTAGTAAACTCAGAGATGAATTTGACTTCTCTGTATCGGCTTGCAATCTTATCCTTTCTTACTTGTGCAATAGATCACAATTCGTCTCCTACAATGGTGAGCATTCTGGTTCATTATTTCTTTCGAGTGGTGTTCCGCAAGGTTCTGTGTTGGGCCCCTTGCTTTTTGTACTCTATGTAAATAGTCTTGCTGAATGTTGTGGTGATTCGAATTGCATACCTCCTTTATTTGCGGATGACGTTTTTCTTGTATTCAGCAGGAATCAAATGTCTCCACCAATTTTTGAAAGTGAAATTAATAGTATTCTTGCTCGTATAAGGCTTTGGTCTTTGGAAAATTCGTTGACTATAAACCGTTTTAAGACTCAAGCCATTAGATTTGGATGTCAAACATATGACCTAAATATTTTTTTGGACCAAACTCAGATCTCCTTTGCTTGTTGCCTCAAAGTATTAGGTATCTTCATTGATGATAAGCTTTCATTCGAATCTCATATTGATTTTGTTCAGAGGAATGTTGTAGGTGCTATTCGTAGGTTTTATTCCACAAACATATATCTTCCACCGTGGGTTAAAAAGAGGTTGGCTTATGTTATGTTGATGCCAAATATTAACTACGGTCTTGAAGTGTTTTCAGGTACTTTTGAACGAGTTTTTGTAAGATTAAAGCGCGTTGTTAACAGCATTGTACGCTTTGTTTTTTGCTTGAGGAGATGCGAACACGTGTCGAGCTATGTTTTGAGCTTCCTGGGGATGGATTTTGAAAGATTCGTCTCCACCAAAATATTATGTACTTTTTATAAAACAATTAGAAATGGTGTACCAATTTTATTGAATAACATGTTCTGTTTTAATATGTCGTCGAGAAGTACGCAAATTTTCATACCCAGGATATACAACTCCACATTTGAAAAATCCTTTTTAATACGTGTAGCTAGATTGTGGAATTATTTACCGGTTGAACTTAGAATTTTCTCGCACTCGAATAATGCTTTTCGTTTAAAGCTGTTGAGCTATTATGAACCTGAGCATTAATGGAGGTATTTGTAGAATTTGTAGAATTTTCTGACACATTAAATATTTTTTTGTTTGGATGGCTTGTTTGCTACGTATTTCATTTCCGTGTAATGGAATTTATTACCTTTCTTTTGTATACATTGTTTGCTCTTCTGGTCAATCTTTGCAAATTTTTCATTTGTGTGATAGTTAAGGCTGGGGAGCCAATTATATAAGTAAGCATTTTTTGATATTTATGTATTATTATTAGTTATTAGGACATTATGTCATTGTTAATACTATTTTTGGCCTTGGAGGCTTATGTATTATTGAATGGAATAAATAAATAAATATTTTTTTCAATGTCCTAAAATAGGCGTGGATTTTTAAAATCCACGATTTCCCAATTTACGATATTTAATTTTAATTTTCCCCCTCTCATATCTCGTTTTTCCAGTTATCGAAAGTCCCTGTTCCATACAATGTATACAATCCATAGACCTGATTATGGGTCTGGCAATTGGCCTCGAAGATGGCCGTTTGGCTCTATACGATTTGGCTGAAATGCAAATATTCTATATTGCCCGGCCGAGGCCAGAGATTGCCATGTCACCGTTGGTGAAAATTGATTATCTCGAGCCGCCAGATGATCCCCGGCCATGCCTCTACATATGGACACTGCATGAGAATGGTGAAAATCTTTATGCCATGTTGCATAATTTAATGTATGAAAAACGTGTCAACGAAGAAGATCAGGACGAAGAAGAGAATGGAGCTGAGAATTTGCAATACTATTTTGAGGTAAGAATTTATTTCTAAAATTGGTTTTTTTCTCATCGAAATTTTAATATTTGTTTCCCTCTATAGACCTTTCTCAGCAGCACATTACGCCTGGAATTGCCTCTGGAGGCAACTAAAAGTGAGGCATTGGCATGTCAGGCCATATCCACACATTGCAGCCATAGTGATGAGGATGCCAATTGTTTGTGTGCCATATCATGGTATTCCGTATTGGAGGGTAAAAATAAACTATTGATATTCGATTTAAATCAATGGTATAAAGAGGAAATGCCCTCGAATTTAATGTTCGGTCAACAGCCAAGCTATTTGGCTGGGTATATCTTGAATGGTGAATGCAACGGGTTGAATACATATCTACAGCCGGGGTCGATAACACATTTCAATTCAATGCAACGTGTGGAGGAACATTTCTATCCGAATTCGTTGAGTTTTGGTAAGTTTGGAGAACACTCTCACACTCTTTATTTCTTAAATTTAATATGCCCGATTGATTTTGATCTATTACAGATTGTTCCCTCTTGCACACGGAAGGTTGTCGCCGTTACAACTGGGAAGGTGCCCAAAATCGTTTGATCAATTTACTCAGGGTTAGCAGTGCTTCGATATTTTTGGAACCCAGCAATTGTTTCAATGAGATCTTGAGAACCCGTTTAATGCCTCAATTTACGGAATTGAATTTAAATTCAACATTTTCCAAGGTAAGTAAAATAGTTTTTCTATAATAAAAAATCTGTAATTTTTGAGGCATCCTGTAAAGCAATAAGGCATGAAACGTGGGAAAAAATAAAGCATACTTTTAGGCGTATTATTTTGTATAACTGCAACGCTGCATAAGTGAATAATTTGGCAATTAAAAAAGGAAATAAATGTTTTGAAAGATCAAAAATGGGCGCGGATTTTTTAAGAAATACTTTTCATTGTCCAAATATAGACGTTAATTAAAAAAAATGCAATGAACCAAAATAGGAGTCGGATTTATAAACAATTTTTAATGATCCATTAAAGACGGGGATTTTTTTAACTATCCCTAATCGCGTTGGGGACTAAAAGGGGAAAAAAGGGGAAAAAAGGGGGGAGGGGATACTTTGCGAACTCTCTTTTAGAGAGGTAGGGGGTATATTGCCACACGAAAAAACAGACTTTGTCTGTGTGCCTTCTTGTTATATTTAAAGACGGGGATTTTAAAAATATTTTCTCAACTACCCAACAAACCCCCCTAATTTTGACGACTCCCGCAAACGTATAAAAGACCACGATCTGCGAATGTGCACTTGGAATGTGAGCACGTTGTACAGAACAGGCGCAGTGTTCGGATGCACTCAATAAGTACAAAGCCGATATTATTGCCTTACTGGAAATGCGATGGAAAGGGAGAGGCGTAAGTAAATCAGATGATTACGCCCTGTATTATAGCTGCCATAAAACGAGACATGAATTTGGCTGCGGATTTATGGTTAACAGGAGAATAAAAGACCTCGTCTCCAGATTCACTCCAGTAGATGAACGAAATGCTATAACCCGTATAAAAGCGAAATTATTCTACATCACTCTCATTTGCGCCCATGCTCCGACCGATGAACAGACCAAAGACATATTTTACGAGCGCCTAGAAACAGCATATGATCGTTGCCCTGGTCATGACATTAAAATTCTGCAAGGAGATTTTAATGCAAAAATCGGAAGGGAAAATGTCTTTGGCCCCACCGTCGGAAAATTCAGCCTCCATGAAGAAACATCAGATAACGGCATGAGGTTGATTAACTTCGCGATCATCATGTTGTGGTAGACGGAAGGCATTCATCCAGTGTTTTAGACGTCCAATCGATCCGGGGAGCGAATATCGATTCGGACCATTACCTTGTGTCAGCCAAGGTACGCACCCGTCTTAATGTAGCAGCAATGGTGTGATCTAATGTAACACGGAAACTCGACGTCGAAAAGCTGCAAACACAACAGATAGCAGAAGTCCCGATAATAATATAGAAGCACAGTGGCAGAGAATTTCCCACTCCCTACAAACTGCAGCAAATGCAACACGATACGATCAGAAGTGTCGTAATGCTACTGATATGAAAAACGCAGCGTATAGGGCAACCCTGCGAACAGTAGCAATCCGTAATGCGGTGTAGAACTATCGGGAGAAAAGGAGAAACGTATTTTCAGAAAAAAGAAGAAATAACAAGAAAAACGTAAGCGTGAGCAAATCGAGATGTACAGGAGTCAGAATGAAGTCCGAAAATTCTACCAACGAGTAAAACACCAAACCGAAGGCTTTGGGCAGGCACATCCTCCTGTAGAGGTGAAGAAGGAAACCTGGTGACAGATACAGACTGCGTGCTGAGGATCTGGAAGGAGCATTTTGAAAAGCATACAGTGGCGGTGAAGAAGATACCCCAGAACCAATAATAGATGGTGGTATAGAGTGTATACCACCTAGCCATGATGAAGTATATATAGAATCATTGTTGGAAGAATAATAATGCGGCTTGCAGATGGTTTACAAGACCAATTTTCACTTTGGTCAAATGCTGGTAAAAAGTATGCACACATCGACACATTCCACAATTTTGTGGAGGATAAAGCCGCATTCGGAAAGCACTATCCTGTGTCATAGGTGTATATATAAAATATGTCTGCGTTGTGCATTGCTGCAAAGTTAATTCGGTTATGCGCATAAAATGCTGTCCGGCATACAGTGTGAACGTCGGACTGGAGCCAATGGCCCTTTTAATACCGAACGGGATTCCATGATCAATGCGGTGACTTTTTAACATCCTGGAAAAGGTCCACCAGGTGAACAGAAATGACAATCTGTACACCAAATCCTAAAAAAGACCCCCCGAAAAACACATTCCATCTATTCCTCGACTTTAAAGCCGCATTCGATAGCCCTATCCGTTCAGAGGTGTTTAAAGCCATGTCTGCGTTTGGCATTCCTGCAAAATTAATTCCTCTATGCAGCATAACTATAACAGGCACAAGATCAACCTTTGAAGTCGGAAAGAACCTCTCGGAGCCCTTTAATACCCAACCAGCATTCAGACAAGGTGACAGTTTGTCGTGTGACCTTTTCAACATCCTGTTGGAAAAGGTCATACGAGAGGCAAAGGTGAACAGAAATTGGAACTCTGTACACCAAACACCAACATGGTACTCGCTTACGTCGATGACATCGACGTAATGGGTCGAATATTGAGAGCGGTAACAGCCACCTTTGAACAAATTGAGAATGAGTCTGCCAAAGTGGGTCTGGTCTGAACAAACAACTCAAAAGCAGGGCCACCTCCCGCCAGACCAAACGCACACTCTACAAGACGCTGATACTACCCGTGTTGTTATATGGATCTGAAGCATGGGTACTTACGCAAGCAGATGAAGCAGCTCTTGAAGTGTTTGAGAGAAAAATTCTCCGAATGATCTATGGGCCGATCTGCGTTGACGGTGAATATCGCCGTCGAATGAACCACCAGCTATTCTCGGACATCGGCGTTGTTAGACGTATTGAACTGCAGCGCGACTCTTGTGAGAATGGATGAAGATGCCCAAGTCAGCTAAAACAAAAAAAAACAAAGGCGTGGATTTTTTTTAAAAATATTTTTTCCCAAAATATTTTTTTTAATTTTTTAAATATATTTTTCAATATTTTTAAATTTTAAAAATATTTTTTAACAAATTTAAAAATATTTTTTAAAAATTTCAAAAATATTTTTTAAAATTTTAAAAATATTTTTAAAAAATTTTTTAAAAATTTTAAAAATATTTTTTTTTTGATTTTTTTAATATGTTTTAAATTTTTTTTTTTTTAATATATAAAAAATTTTAATATTAATTTTTTTTTTAATTTTTTTTTAAATGTTAAAAATATTTTTTCAATATGTTTTGAAAACTACAAAAAAAAAAAAATATTTTTTTTTCTTTTATTTTCCAGCAAGCCAAATATGAGGTTATGTTATCCACCGCATTGGAAAATAATTGCATTAGTTTGCTGCGTGATTGTGCCAAATCCTGGATTGATGGCAGTTTTATGGGCAATTTTGCTGTATCCACCGGATTATCCTTATCCACCCTCACCGATTGGATATGGAAAAGGGCTAATGCAATTAAATTACGGTCCAATGATTTGTGCAAGGGTCTATTCGAATTTGGTGGCTATCCATTGGATCATAGGGAACAAAAGGAACTGTGTTTTATTACACGGCAATTAAAACTGCTGTTCGATCTGTTGGGTGAAATTTTACAAATTGGACGTAAACAAATACCGGAAAGAGGTGGGTTTCCTTACAATTTTTTTCATATTTTCAAATTAATTTCCCCCTTCTCTTTATTTTTGCAGTTTATTCTAGTCTAGAGAATAATTACAATTCTTTGCGCATGGCCTCCAATTACCAAGACCTGCTTTTGTGGCTTCTAAACATTGGCCTACTGCCGGAGGCCTCTCCCTTCAATACGCAAATAAATTCCCAATATGAATTGGTACCCTATCCCTATAGAGAATTAAAAGAATTCTATAGTAAAAAGCGGGCATATTTCCGCAAACTAAATGAACAGCAATACATATCGAAGAAATCGGGTAGCTGTCGCCTCTTGTATATAGATGCGTTCATTGACCATTCGTGTAAGAGTAATATTTTACATGAATATTGGTTGGAAAATGATGGTGACGGCCTGTATCCGCCCAATTCGCTGGAGGCTATGCTGCGTGTAATGCTTGTACCCGAATTGGATTACGAACATAAATATGCCATACTGTTGTATTTCTTTTTGGATTTAAATATGGCCATCGATGAGGAGGCCTACAAGAATGTCGTGGCCAATTTTATAAAATTTCCAAGTGTATTTAAGCTATCGGCGGCATTGATAAAGACGGTGCAATCATTTTGGAATTTGGATCATGATCAGTTTTTGGTGAGTGTGGGGAAATTTTTTCGTGGACCTATCAAAGACGTGGATTTTTTAAAAATGTTTTTTCAAGTTCCTTTTTTATATTTTTCTTTTAATTTTTTCTTCTTCGTTTTCTTGTAGCCCGCCGTTGAAGAATTCATATCACCCTTCAATAAAAATCAATCCTATCCCCAATGGCAGGTCGAGCTACTGATCGAATCTTTGTTAACACAAAATTCCGCCAATTTGGCATTGCGGATTTTAGAATCCCAACCTTCGCTAATCGCTCCCATGTTGAAATTGAAGACACTCCTCGCTAATGATCTAATATCGGAAGCTTTTCATTTTGTCCGTACGAAAAATGATAACTCCCTAATGGAATATTTTTTTACTCGTTGCCTAAGTCAGGGGCAGTTTGGTGTCATCCGAGATTTGGCCCTAAGTGAAAATGAAGGCATGATCTTACAGAATATTCTCAAACGTAGTAAGGCTCCTGGGGCAGAGTGTCTACATTTTGTTTATTTGTTACAAAAATCGAAATATATCGAAGCGGTATCCTATATGGATGAGTTGTCGGCGAAACCGAAATCTTTGCGAGGAAATTTACCAGCCCCACAAATGGAAACACCAAATATGGTGTTGTCGGCTTTCAATACCACCATGACACCGGTAACCCAGGGCCTGACCGATGTCTACTTTCGCATTAAGAATAAAATCAAGAAAAAGGATGTGGACAACAAGTCGCCGGTACCGCTCAGTTGTCAGCTGATCAAACAGAATGCGAATAGTTTGCTGGGTGGTATCTATCACAGTTCAGCATTGAGTGCCCATTTTGCCACCTACTACTGGGGTGAAATGCAAGAGGAACGCAATCAAAATGATGCCAAACAATTGTTGAGTTCCAATAATGCCCCCTTCCTGAGGAAACCACAAAATGATAATAGTATTGTGGATTTCCTCGGTAAGACTCCAATATCCTATCCGCAGGCATATAAAGTGCGGGAGAAACGTAATCTTGTGGAAAGTGAAATTCTGGCCAATGAAGATGATCCGCAGGAGCTAATGGAACGCCAGAAACTGGAGAATCAATTAAATCCGAAAAAGAAGCGACGTTTAGTGGGTCAGGATATTGTCAATGATTTGAAACAATTTATGGAAATGAATAAACAGAAGGCGATTAAATTGAGTGCCAGTGATTTTAGGTTCCATGAAGCGGGAGCAAAGGCGAAAACAACAGCTGTAGATGAAGATCTGCGGGATTCCCAAAATGTGGATATTTTGACTCAGCCCTTGGTGAGCCAAAAGTCTGCAGGTTTCCAGCCAAGGCCTCTGGAGGAGAATCAACAGGAATTGCAGGGTATTTTGAAATCTGCGAATAGTGAAATGGCTACCCAGGATGAGGAGAAGAATTTAAGATTCCGTTTACCCTCAAGGGATTTAAATAATTCCATTATTTCGCAAACCAATGAAGTGGTCGAAGATGTGGAAGAAGAAATGGAATTTGAGGAGGAAGAGCAAAGACCAAATTCTGCAACCTCCCTAAGAAAACAACCACAAATTGTTCGTTCCATTTCCGTGGAATCGAATAAAAGTTCGGTTAGCTCTAGCAATCATTCGGAGGATAATTTCTACTCACCATTGTCCTCGCAAAATAATTCGCGTCTGGATTCATCGACCATGAGTCGGGGTAGTTTGTTGGCGGGACCCAAGCCAAGGAGGCCCATATCAAGGTTATCTGGTGAGATGGAGGAACAGGGAAGGGATTCGGTGGAAAGGGAGGTAATTGGAGGTAGGAGATCAATGGAAAAGGAGGAAATGAGGAAGACAGCCATGGAGAAGGAATTGCAGGGATCTTGGAAATCTAAGGAAAATGAGGCCGCGAGGAAGTCCGTGGAGAAGGAAGTCCAGGTATCTTGGAAATCCAAGGGAAAAGAGTTATCAGAAAGCATTCTGTTTGAGGAGAAGGAGTTAAGAGGAAATCGGAAATCTATGGAAGGTAGGAAATCAATGGAAAAGGAATTGTTGGGAACCAGAAAATCCAGAGAAAGGGAACTACAAGCAACCCAAAAATCCCCCAAGGAAATTCAAATCGAAAACCCTGACAAACCCAACGAAGAAATTTCAGCCTCTACAGAGGATGCCAATGAAAGTGGCATTGCCCACACCGATCTAAGCACCTCCGAACATTATGTAACCGCTGCCGGACCCAGCCTCTTCAATATTTCCTCACGCAAATCATTGGCAAGTGTGGCCAGCACCTCTGAAACCTCGCGGGCTTTCACCACAGCCTTGGATAAATTTACCGATAAAAATTCTCCTCCTCCTCTTGGACAAACTTCCAGCGGGTTTGGAAGTTTAACAGCTCGCAGCACCATGGCCGCAACTAGTCGCATAAATGATTTTATACCCAAAATATCCTCTTCGAAGGTGGGCCACTTTTCCACACCCTTTAAAATGGAAACAAAAATGGAAATTAAAGCCACCAAGCTATCGGAATGCAGTACCGTTGTGGGTTCATTTGATTATACCAGTTCGACAGCGGGTGGCAGTGGTTCGCATAATATTTTTGCCATGCCCAGTATACCGGCACCACCTAGCGCAATGGATAGGGCAAAAGAAAAGCCACCCTCTGAGGAGCAGAAACAGCAGATGCTGGATACCACATTGGGTATGAGTACCTATGATTTTTCGGTGCTAGATAGTACGGCATCAGGGCAGGTGGCGAAGTCACCGTTAATGGTATCGGCAAGGGATGAAGAGGTTGGTGGTAAGAAGAAAGAAGAAGAGGAGGTTAAGGGTGAAGAAAAAGAAAAGCAAAAATCTGTGGAGAAGGAGAAGAAATCGCCCGAAAGGGAACCTAAGTCCAAGGAAGTAGATCCGAAAGAAAAAGAAGACTCATCCCAACAGAAAGCCCTCTCCAAGGAGAAAGAGGTTAAACAAGAAATTCTCTCTCCCCAAGAAACTGAAAGAGAAGAAGAAGAAAATGAGGAGGACGAACAAATGGAAGGTGTTGAGGAAGAAAATGAAGAAGAGGAACCGATAGTAAAATACAAACCAGCCGATATAAGTGATGAACCCGAAGAAGAAGAGGATGAAGAAGAAGGTGGATCTGGTCGCTCCAAACCTAAAAGGGTTTGGGGTGATCTACTCTATAGTTCCGATGAGGATGATTGCATTGTTTTGTCATCTTCATCGTCCTACATCGATGACAATGATTATGGCCGACCCTTTGAAATACGGGATAACGATGGTGAGGAATCGCCGACAAAATCTGCCGAACGTGCCGATATTGATAGTGAACGTAGCTTTGATACCGGGGAATATGATGATTATGCCGAGGATGTGGAGGCCGGAAATGGTGGAGATGATTATGCCGATGAAATTGAATCTCAAGATGCCTCGGAAATGGAAAAGGATGAGGACGATGATGATGATGATGTTGTTGAGGTCATTGATGATTCCTCAACGGATACAAGGAAAAGTGGTGTTCAGGAGGAAAGTAGTAACAGTGAGGATGTTAAATTTGTGCAGGAGACTAAGGCATCCAGCGAGGCTATTGAATTGCAAACGAAGGATGGAGGAAATAGAGAAGGAGAAGAAGACGAAGTTGTTAGCTCAACCTCAAGGGAAGTGGAAAGGGAAGGGGTTATTTCCAGGACTAACAAATCTACGGAAGAGAAATCCCAAGACGAAAAACTAGAGGTTAGTAGCTCTACGGAGGAAAAGGGAACTACCAAGGAAAAAGTAACAGAAAAGGAGGAGGAAAAAACAACAAAAGAAAGTGGACTATTGGAGGAGGAAACATCGGCCTCAAAGGTTACCGAAGCTGAAAGGGCAGCCTCAAAGGAAACTGAAGCTGAACGGGAAGCCTCTAAGGAAACAGAAATTGAAAAGGGGTCCTCAAAGGAATCGGAAGCTGAAAGGAAAGCTTCAAAGGAAAAGAAAACTGAAAATGAGTCCTCAAAGGAATCGGAAGCTGAAAGGCAACCCTCAAAGGAAAAAGACTCTGAAAGGATGGAAGAGGAAAAAGAAACCGAAGAGAAGGGCAAAGAGACAGCCGAGAATCGACAATCTGAGGATCACGAGGAGAAATTGCTCGCAGAGAAAGAAAACTCAGCCAAGGAAAAGGCTGGCCAAAACGAAACGGAAGAGGAAAACAAACGTCAAGAAAAACCCGCAATGGAAAAAGATTCCCAAGAAGAAGGCCCCAATGAAAACGAGAAAATCGCTTACAAAGGTGCCAAAGACCGCAGAAAATTGGCTGCCAATGTCGAGGATGATGACGAAAAAATGGATACCATCGAAGCATCACAAGAACCTCAACCCCCAACCAGCCAACCACCAAAAGACGAGGATTCTCAATCCTCGGCCATGGTCGGAGAAGAAGAACAAATCACCCTGCGCATTGATGATGAGGATTCGATGAATGCAACCGAGGCGGCCGAATTGAAATTACGTAAAAAATTACGAGAAGAAGAGGAAGCAGCAGCCGCTGAAGCCAATGAATCGATTCGGGAACTTCCGTTACGAAATAAACGCACCAGACGTACATCGATTTCTGCAAATTTGGACTCGCCAGTGGTGTCCTCTCCTAGGCGTACCACACGAGGCGGTTCGGTGCCACCAATTGAATTGCAAAATGTGGCAGTTGCCTCACCGCGGCGTACAACAAGAGGTACCTCAGTACCACCAGCAGCAGCCGGCGTAGAAGAAGGTGGAAGCAAACCTAACACTCGGCGCAGCATTCGGGCCACATCTGTGGTACCTGAGGAAGAGGAGGTACAGCAGGTGAAATCCTCATCCTCACGGCGCAGTATTCGGGCAACATCTGTGGTACCCGAGGAAGAGGAGGGTGAGGTAAGCGGACAGCAGGTGAAATCCAACTCCTCACGCCGTAGTATTCGAGCCAGCTCTCTTGCCCCCGAAGAAGTTGCCGATTTAACCGCCAAACCCTCTACAGCATCCAGACGTGGCATAAGAGGCACCTCAGTGCCACCCATGGAATTATCTGCCGAAATTGTGGCCTCACCACGTTCGCGAAATACCCGTGGCATTTCTGTGCCGCCACAAAGTTTGGCAGACTCTGAATCTACTATGGCGCCCAGTACTCCATCACGTCGCCGCAGCCTAAGGGCAAGTTCATTGCAACCCAAAACGAAACTTGAAGAAGACGAAGAGGAGGCAGAATTGGGCGCCACACCCAGTAAGAGGGAGAAATTACAAAGCGATGAAACCACCGGCTCACGATCTGCACGAGGATCATCAGTGCCAGCTGCAGGAAAACCCAGCACAAGGCGACGTTCAATTCTCTTGGATGCCATTAATGAGGATGGTAGCAGCGTCACGGGAGTGGATTCTCCGGCCAGTCATACACGATTCCGCAGTCGTTTAAATTCCAATGAAAGTGAACACAATTCATCGGTTGTGGACGCTGCAGAACCAGTCACCACAAAACGCACCCGAAGAGCATCACTTTCGGCCAACAACTCCGGAGATTTACCCATAACTCCCAAACCCAACAGGCGAAACAGCATAAATTCCCAATCCGATGCGGCAGCTGGTGGGACTCCAAGAACATTACGTGGTCGCAGCATATTATCCGTACCCGAAGAAGAGGACAACGAGAGTATACCACCCACACCCAAGGAGAGTACAGCGACCAGAAAAACTGCAGCCAAACGTAAGGTCAGCAGTGATGAGAAACCCTCGGAGAAAAATGAAGAGGATGTGTCGGAGGAAAAGAAATCCAATTCCCCCAAAAATGACAATACCACATCATCGCTATATTCCTCCTCACGTCGTTTGACCCGTACCCAATTGGCCATGATGGAGAAATCCGCCAATTTAACACCCGTTAAATCTACCACCACCACTATGGAAAGTCCAACCAAGGAATCACCACCCAAAACTAAACGTTCGGCTGCCACTAGGGGGCACGGTAGGCCATCATCGGCGGCCACAAACATTTCACATGACAGTGATGATGCGGAATCGGTTTCCTCGAAACGTAGTGTTTCATCGAATGTTACTGCCACCACCACTACGAAGAGGAGAAGTACCCGGAAGTCGATTAAGGAGAAGGTGGGGGAAATTAAAAATATAACCTTTAAATATTTCCAAACTTAACTATTGTCTTTTTCCCAAGGAGGACCATGATGATGATGCCGCCAGCATTGCCAGTTCGGTGGGCAGTGAAAAGAATACCAGGTCGCGACGATCCAAGGATAAAAGTTCACCCAGTGCAGTGTTAACTGCTATACCAGAGGATGGTAATATATTTACTCTAACATAGTTTGAGTCCCGATTTTTTTAATTTTGTTTGCTTTCCGTTCTTTTCTAGCTCCCGTTGAAACCAAGAAACGCAGCCGGGCCTCAACAAAACATTAATTGGTGTTTTTAATTTTGTTCCCAAATTTATTTTTGCATGGTTCGATTTTTTATACATAAATACTACTTACCAATATACATATATATCATATTATTATACATATACCTACATATATATTTCAAAAAAAAAACTGTTTTTATCAATTATGAGTTGAAATAAATTATCTGGATTCGAGGGTAACATTTCCCTAAATAAAAAAAAATTGTTTGATGAAGAATTTCATTACAAAAAATCGTTCGTTGAAACCGATTGGTCTTTATAAAGACCGATGGTTTCTACACAGACCAATTGGTCTCAACACATCTTTTAAGGGACTGGAGAATACACTGAGGTTGGTGGAAAAGCAGAACGACGGAATTCTACTATTCTAACTAGGCGGGTTTGATCGCTTCCATGGGAGAGAAGGTAAGAACCTGTATATCAGCTAAAAGATAACTAAATTTAGTGATTCTTTCGAATTTCAGCAATAGTGATATGACGACAGTCAGACTAGATGGGGGTATGAGGCTTCTGAACCACCCGGACCGGATGTACGCAACCTTATGGAGGCTATGATCAACATTAGTGACCTAGTCATTGGATGTGATGTCAATGCCCATCATCACTTCCACTGGGAGTAGCAGTCACACCAATCAAAGAGATGAGTCCATATTTGATTTTATACTTAGATATAATCTTAGAATATGCAATATGGAGGCAACACAGCAACGTTCAACGAGTCAGAGGCGAAGTCATTCACATAACCCTTACAAACATCGACGAATCTGGGTATTACGAACTGGAAAGTATCTGAGAAATGCTCCTTCGATATGACGACTGTCAGACTAGATAGGGATAGCTCGAGTCCCCCTAATAGTCTCTGCCGTCTATCTCCCATATGAGGCTCCTGACCCACCCGAACCGGATGTATACAACCAACCATATCTTAGGATATTCAATATGGGGGCAACATAGCAACGTTCAACGTAAATAGAGTGGGAGGCGAAGCTATTTACATAACCCTTAACAAACATGGACGACTCTGGGATTACGAACTGGAAAGTATCTGAGAAATTCTGCTTCTCGGGTGATACTTTTTCAGATTCTTACCTCCAGAGGCAAACAGAACCTTATAGAAATCCTGGGATAGGTTCAATCCTAGGTCACAAAGATCTCATAACGATTAAGGATGTTGAGAAAGCTGTGAACAGTGTCAATGGGACTCTTCTGAGGAGCTTGTCCTTTGACATACCCTGGTGATTCCATATTTGATTTTATACTTAGATATAATCTTAGGATATGCAAAATAAGCGCAACACAGCAACATTCAACGTAAATAGTGTGAGAGGCGATGTCATTGACATAACCCGCACAAACATGGACGACTCTAGGATTACGAACTGGCAAGTATGTGAGAAATACTCCTTCTCGGATCATAGGATGATACTTTTCCACATTCCTAACTCCAGAGGAAAATAAACTTTATAGGAGGAACCTATGGAAAACAAACTAGGATAGGTTCAAAGCTAAAACAGCATCCACAACACTTGGTCGCACAGACCTCGGAACGATTGAGGAGTTTGAGAAGGCTTAGTGTCATTTGTCATTACCCTTGAAGGAAATATCAGCCGGTGGTATGGTGGTCAAAAACGCTAGCATCCTTGAAGAAGGGGGCGTTTACAATAAAGCCAGCTAATCGCTTAGTAGTCTGGAGTTTGCTGTACAATTCAATAGGTAAAAAATTGAAATCAAGAAGGCAAAGGGGGGGTTTGCTATAGCGTGTCAGCAGTATTAAGCGAAGCGATTTGGATATAAAGATCCAAAATCCATGGGTTGTATTAAGCGAAGCGACGGAACGTGAAAAAATTCGCTTCCTGATAGACTCTTGATCATCTATCATCAACCCACTTCCCTGGTTGCATGGGTCATAACGACGAAGTCTGGCATACGGTTCGAACCAAGGAAGAGTAGAAGCTGATATAGAACACTATAATCTACCCAAAGCTGGTATGAGCAATAAATAACTTTCAAACTTAAAAATGTTGCAGCACGTCGATGAAGGAGTACTGGTCATTTTGCAAGTAATTTTTAGGGCTTGTCTAAGTCTTGGCTTTGCTATGGCGGTAAACGAAGCAGCCAGATTTCGTAGAGTAATATCTAAAGATACAAAATCGATGTGTAGTATTAAGCGAAGCGACGGTACGTGGACAGACGGAACTCTTGAAGAGAGGCTCTTGATTTTATATCATCAACCCCCTTACCTGCTTGTATGGACCATAACGCCGTAGTGCGGTGTGCTACCTAAGGACTATACACCAATTAGCCGTTCTAGTTAAGAAGCTGATAGAAAAGGTTATAAGCTACCAAAATTATGGGCAATCTAGCTTTCAACCCTAAAAATCACTGTCCACTGCCTTACATGATGTGGTTGTATTGGTCACTCATTCCGAAGGCTTGGAAGCCGACTTATACGTTACCTAAGGACTATACATCAATTATCCTTTCTTTTCTACATAAAACTCTAGAAAGATTACTAGACTCTGAAATTAGGAACATTATCAACCCTAAAGGCAAATTGATAGAATGCTGAAAAGCAGAATTATAAATTCGTCCATGGGAGAGAGTTCCGTGAAGAAATCTGTCAACAGAGGCACACCACTTGGAGGAGTACTATCCCATCTATTATGGCTTCTGGTGATAAATGATATACTTCTTAAATTCGATAACCTTGGGATGTAGTAGCCTATGCTGATGATGTAGTCCAGCTAATCGGTGGAAAATTTCTGCTGACTATATCTGACATCATGTAGGATGCCTTATTAACTCTGTCCAACTGGGCACACGCCAATGGACTTGGCGTAAACCTCACGAAGATAGAAATGGCACTCTTCACTAGGAAACGTAGGATCCCAAACTTCCGATCGCCAATCTTGGGTGGAGTTACATTAGCCCTTTCCTTATAAACAAAATACCTTGGTACATCCCTTGACCACAAACTAACGTGGAAAAGGAATGTTGAGCAACCCTCTAAGAAAGGTCTTGTAACGCTCTACTCCTGCAACAACTCTATAGGTAAGAGTTGGTGACTAAAACCGGAGATCATACACTGTAACGGTTGTACTCCTCATTTTTACATATGGCTGCTTTGTATAGTGGCAAGGGGTCGATAAGCATACACTAGGTCTCAAAATGAATGAATGAATACTGTACAGCGATCGGCGTCGATCTTGATTACTGGAACGCTAAGAAGCACACCACAGGTAGCCTTGAATGCAATTCCTGAATCTCCAACCATTGGATTTTCTGGTTAAATTCTAGGATGCAAGATGTGTCCTGAGGCTCCGGAAAACGGATGCGTTGAAGTCGTTGAAATTTGTACAACACAACGTCAACGTTTGTGACCTTCTAGAAAGAAGTACTCACATCAGTGACTATAATCCCCCCATAACGACTTTAACTATATTAGAGTTTCCTAGTAGGGAATCCTGGGCAAGTGGCTCCTTACCTGTGGCCGTTCTGCTGATATTTACTGACGGCTCGAAGATGGAGGAAGGTACTTGTGCAGGTGTTTACTGCAAGGAACTAGCCATCTACAAGTCATAAAAACTTAACGATCCTAGCAGCGTTTTTCAGGCACAAATCCTGACAATCACGAATGCGGCTAAGATAGTCCAAACACTTACTGCAGGCAGCATAGGACCGGTGACTATATCTGTAAATAGCCAGGTGGTCCTTAAGGCACTTAAGTTGGGTACTATCATCTCAGATTAACTCAGACGACAGATAGTCAAATTATCTTGGGTCCCAGGACACAATAACGTAGTAGAGAATGAGATGAGGTTGCTCAATGGGGTTCGCAATCGTCTAATCTAGCGATTGAGGGATCGCTGACTATATATGTCGATAGTCAGGCGGCCCTTAAGGCACCTAAGTCGTGTACTATTAACTCAGACGACAGATAGCTAAATTGTCTTGGGTTCCAGGACACAGTAACATAGAAGAGATTGAGATAGCCGATGAGTTTGCTCAATGGGGTTCACAGTCGTCCAATCTACCGATTGAGGGATAGCTGACTATATATATATGACGATAGTCGGGCGGCCCTTAAGGCACTCAAGTCGTTCACTATTAAGTCAGACGATAGATAGTCAAATTATCTTGGGTTCCAGGACACAGTAACATTGAAGAGAATGAGATAGCCGATGACCTTGCTCGATGGGGTTCGCAGTCGTCCAATTTACCAATTGAGGGATCAATACAACCACATATTGGCGGCAACAGATGGTCAATACAACTTCAAAAACCATCTGGCCAGAATTCTCTCACCGTAGAACTTCTTCGATGATGTCTTATAGTAAGAGGGGAATAAAAATCATTGTGTAGATCATAACAGGTCACTGCAGGATTAGATCTCACCTCACCAAATGGGACATTAACGGAGTGGATTATGAAGAAGAGAATGAGATAGCCGATGAGCTAGCTCGGTGGGGTTCGCAGTCGTTCATTCTGCCGATTGAGGGATCTGTACAACCTCCTATTGGCTACTTTATTGGCAAAATCCGTATGAGCTACTGCGAGGTAGTCGGCAACAGATGGTCAACAGAACCTGGATGAAAAAACTTCAAAACCCATCTGAATTCTCTCGCCGTAGAACTTCTTCGCTGCTGTCTCAAAGTAAGAGGGAGATAAAATCATTGTGGGGATCATAACAGGTAACTGCAGGATTAGATCTCTCACCACACCAAATGGGACATTAACGGAGTGGATTATTGCCGCCCTCTATGTGAGGATGAGGAAGAGCTGGAAACAATTGAACATATACTCTGTAGCTGACCATCTGTTGGTCTCTATGAAGACCAATACCAATTAGGATTTACACAATTGCACCTATTTCAGATTATTTTCATAAAAAAATCATTTTGAGGTTATGTTCTTTAAATAATTTTCTTATTTTTATTTTTAAAAAATAAATCGTTCGTTTCTTAATTCTCAACATATATAAAAGATACAAAATATTACAGTTCTACTTAATACAAAAAATTAGATATTTACAATTTTTCGCTTTAAAACTAAATAAGTACACTTTTTATTTCACTGGATCCATCAGGCAAGAGAAGTAGTAGGGTATTAATAACTATAAACTACGCTCTAACCTATAAACTAACAAATATATATAGACAACAAAATAACAAAAAAGTCACTTAATTTAGTTACACCAAAGTCGACAACTCGTGCAGAGATATGCTCGTCACATTACTCATATCCAAGGTGGGTGGTATACCGGGACTAACCGAACCACTGGCCTCCCGAGCCGTTGCCGTTGACAAACAATTACCATTTGCCAGGGGTTTAGGTGTGGGCGGTGTAGCCGTTGAGGGGCGCATCATAAACGAGGAACTTAACGCAGTTAGGGGATTAAAACTGCCATGCGAATGATTCGGCGATACCGGTGTTATCGAAGTGGGATGAAGCAGATTGCTCATAGCCGATTGATTAAAATTTAAATGTGACGGATGATTAAGAAATTGTACTGGTGGTGTCAGGGGCCCGATTTGTGATACCAATGACATATGTTGCATAGCTGCTGCAGCGGCGGCAGCAGCAGCAGCCGCTGATGTTGGACTACGATAGCTAATCGTTTTCTCCTTTTGCCAAACGAAAACATTATGGACCATGGCAGCACCACAAAATATTATGCCAATACCGATTAGGATACTGGTGATTATGGCGGGGGTAGAGTGAAAATGATTGAAGGTATATAAGATGATGCCTGTAATTGGGAAGAAGAAGAAAAAAAATGAAAAAGTGAGGTTAGAATCGATTATTTTTAATTGCGAGATATAAGATTCAAAACAATAAAAATTTGAACTGTAAAAATAGTAATGAAACCAATTAAGAGAGGACCAAAACCTCTATATTAATTTTGGTTACATTTGCAAAAATTTCCTATCGATCGGGGGAAAACTATACACGGGATCTAAATCTAAATTTGAGCGATTTTAATCAAACTTCGTACACGTCTTTCTAGGCTCAGTTCAATACCTTATGCCAAATTTCGTGACAATCGGACAAACCTTTGGACCTTTGGTGCTCCATTTACATGAAATCCGACGACTTTATATATGGGAGCTATATCGAAATCTAAACCGATTTAAAGCAAACTTGGCACACGTCTTTCTAGACTTAATTCAGTAGCCTATGCGAAATTTCGTGAGAATTGGACAAATGTGGCACCATTAGGGCGCCATTTACATAAAATCCGACGAATTTATATATGGGGACTATATCGAAATCTGAACCGATTTAGAGGAAACTTGGCATACATCATTTTAGACACAATTCAATATCCTATGCCAAATTTCGTGACAATCGGATAAACTTTTGGACCTTTGGTGCACCATTTACATGAAATCCGACGAATTTATATATGGGAGCTATATCGAAATCTAAACCGATTAAAATAAAAATTGGCATATCTTATTCTAGTCTCGTTTTAGTACTCTGTGCCAAATTTCGTGCCGATCGGACAAACTTTTGGACCATTTACATGAAATCGGAAGAAAATATATATGGGAGCTATATCGAAATCTGAACCGATTAAAATAAAACTTGGCATACGTTATTCTAGTCTCGTTTCAATGCACTATGTCAAATTTCGTGACAATCGGACAAACGTTTGCATCATTTACATAAAATCCGACGAATTTATATATGGGGACTATATTGAAATCTGAACCGATTAAAATAAAACTTGGCATACATTTTTCTAGTCTTGTTTCAATACCCTATGCCAAATTTTGTGGCAATCGAACAAACGTTTGGACCTTTATGGAACGATTTACATGAAATCGGAAGAAAATTTATATGTGAGCGGTATCGAAATCTGAACCGATTTAAAGCAAACATGGTACACGCCATTCTAGACCCAATTCAGTACCCTATGCCAAATGTCATGACAATCGGACAAACGTTGTGGCCTTTGGAGAAGGAAATATATATGGGACCTACATCGAAATCTGAACCGATTTACAGCAAACTTGGTACATGTTATTCTAGTTTCATTTCAGTAGGCTATGCCAAATTTAGTGTCGATCGGACAAACTTGAGACCTTTGGGCGCCATTTATATGAAATCGGAAGAACATTTTAATGGGTCCCATATCGAAATTTGAACCGATTTACAGCAAACTTGGTACATGTTTTTCTAGTCTCATTTCAGTAGCCTATGATGCCAAATTTCGTGTCAATCGGAAAAACGTTGTGACCTTTGGGACACCATTTACATGAAATCCGTCGAATTTATATATGGGGGCTATATCGAAATCTGAACCGATTTATAACAAACTTGGTTTTTCTAGTCTCATTTCAGTAGCCTATGCCAAATTTAGTGTCGATCGGACAAACTTTGGACCTTTGGGGCGCCATTTATATGAAATCGGAAGAAAATTTTAATAGGACCCATATCGAAATCTTAACGGATTTGACCAAAATCCGTTAAGATTTCGACCATCCTAGTCTGAATTTGACACCATATACCAAATTTCGTGTAAATCGGACTAACGTTGGGTTTTTTGTGGGCAAATTCTGCCACATCTGTTGGTATTTAGAATCTTAAAAACCCCAAAAAAATCTATTCCATGGACTTACCTGTCAGGAAAATGGGTATTGATATAAAAAAGCCACCCACAGCACAGGTGCGACTTGTGCTGGACTTTTCCAAATAACGATTATCTCTGAAAAATAAAAAAAAAACGACGAAAAATTATTTTCCGATTTCCAAATCCAAACTCAAAACCCCCCCTCTTACCTTCCATCAAACATGGGTGAGCGGACCAGCTTAACAGCAAATAGAAATTGTATTGCACACACCAACAGGCAGCACAGGTTCAGCGACAGCGATAGGGCACACAGGGCCAGTGTGACATCATAGACAATTATAAAATCCTCGGGTGAACTACGGGTCAACGCATCTTCTCTGGCATTTGGTGAAATTTTAAGCAGGAAAATTAAGGACAACAAAGCCAGGAGTAAGGAAACTGGAAGAGGAAGAGAAAATAAAATTTTCAAATTTATACCGAAACATAACCTCAAATGAATACTTACCCAAACACAGCAGACCCAAACTGGTTAGAGCTTCCCGCGGCCCCGGACCATGTTTTGACTTATTGTGTATGGTGGTCATATTGGGATTTGTATAATTGGTGTAATTTGTGTGTTGGGTGGTATTGTGCGCCGGATTGGTGTGGTTAACCAGACCATTGGCCATGCCAGCCATACCACCACCACAACTAGTCCCATTGTTGTTGTTGTTATTGTTGTTGGTCGTTACATTGGCCAATGCAATATGCTGATTTGTATAGGTGTGTAAATTATTACCAATACCACTGAGACCATTCGGTGTCAAATGACTATTGATGGGGGTAACAGGTGTTGCAGCCGGCGCTGTAGTACCACCATTTCCGTTGATTGTAGGTGGTGGTAGCAAAGGTGGCAAGGGTGGTTGTTGTTGTCCGGTGGCAGTAGATGCACCACCGGCTACCGTGGCAGTTGTTGTAAGATTTCCATTATTTGTGGCGGTCACAGTTGTCGGCGGTGGTGGCAAGGGTGGCAGTGAGGCAATATTAAGTAACGTCGATAATCGTGGTCCTCCATTTACACTGGTCGTATTGGTTGGTGTACCCGTCTTGGCAGATGTTTGTAAACTGGCCGAACTAAGGGTTGAGATATTCAGCGGTTGTTGTGGCCGCAAATGTATACTACGTGCCGGTCCTGTGGCGTTGCTACCGTTGCCGCTGCGTACTTGACCATTAACTGGTCCGCCAGCATTTGATGTATGTTTCAGCATTTAGAATTGTGCAAAGGAAACCGGAGCGGAAGATGCCAATATGGAAGAGGTTTTCTAATTTACATTGTGGTATGTTGGAACGATCTGAAAAGAGAACGGGACGAGGAGGAGAAAAGGAAATTAGTATGGAATTAAAATTTTAAAATATGTGAACATTTTTAGAAGAAATTGGAGACAATTTCCCAGGTTTCTTTACGTTTTAGGTATGGGGTATGTTCAGCAAAAATATCAAAAACATTATGAGGAACATTTCCGTGAATCATATTAACCCTCCATCGATACGCTTTCGGGGGTATTTTTGATACTTCTTCAAAATTATTTAGGAGTAAATTTTTTTAGGTTATTTTTTGGAAATTCTTAAATTCCTCAGGAACCTTATATTTTGGCCATGGAGTATGTTCAGCAAAAATATCACAAACATTATGAGGAAAATTTTCTTAAGACATATTAACCCTCTACCGGATCATATTAGGGGTCTTTTTGGTACTTTTTCAAAAATTATTTACAACTGCCCAATTTTTAGGTCGTTTCTTGGAAATGGCCTAATTTCTTTGGGATTTTCACATTTTGGCCATGGAGTATGTTCCGCAAAAATTTCACAAATATTATGAGGAACATTTCCGCAAATATATAATACCCTCACTATAGAGGTATACCCCTCACTATAGAGGTATTTTTCTACTTTTTTAAAATTATTTACAACTTCAAATTTTTTGAGGTTAGTTCTTGGAAATGTCCTAATTTCCTGGGGATTCTCACATTTTAGACATGGAGTATGTTCAGCAAAAAAACCAATAAGCATAGGGAGGATATTTTTCTAGAACATATTATATCTCCATGGACTCGTTTTGGGGGTCTTTCTGACATATTTTTAAAATGATTAAAAACTTTCCATTTTTCCTACTATAATCATGAAAAAAAGCATTTTCTGTTATTCTCATATTTTGGCCATAGAGTATGTTCGGCAAAAATATCACAAACATTATGAGGAATAATTTCGTAAAATATACTAAACCTCTAGCGATACGTTTTAGGGGGTATTTTTGATACTTCTTCAAAATTATTAAAACTACAAATTTTCACTATTACAAATTTTTTTGGAAATACCTTAATTTCCGTAGGATCCTAATATTTCAGACATGGAGTATGTTCAGCAAAAATATCACCAACATTATGAGGGACAATTCCGCAAAACATATTAACCCTCTAGCGTAACATTCTAAGGGTCTTTTTGGTATTTTTTTTCAAAATTATTACAAAACTACAAAAATTTCAAGTTATTTCATGGCAAATCATGAAATTCCTTGTTATCCTCATATTTTGGCCATGGAGTATGTACAGCAAAAATATCACAAACACTATGAGGAACATCTTCCCAAAACATATTAACCCTCTAGCAGAACATTCTAAGGGTCTGTTTGGTATTTCTTTAAAATGGTGTAAACCTACAAACATTTCAGGTTATTTAATGGAACATCATTAATTTCTTTGGGAACCTTGTATTATTGGTATGGGGTATGTTCAGCAAAAATATCACAAACATTATGAGGGACAATTCCGCAAAACATATTAACCCTCTAGCGGAACATTCTAAGTGTCTTTTTGGTATTTCATCAAAATTATTAGAAAACTAAAAAAAAATTAAGTTAATTCATAAAAAATCATGAAATTCCTTGTTATCCTCATATTTTGGCCATGGAGTGTGTTCAGTAAAAATATCACAAACATTATGAGGAACATTTCTGCAAAATATATTAACCCTCTAGCGGTTCGGTTTAGGGCTCGTTTTTGGTACTTTTTCAAAAATTATTAAAAATTCTCATTTTCTAATCATAATTCTGAAAAGGATTTAATTTCCTGGACAATCTTATATTTTCGATATGGGGTACGTTCAGCAAAAATCTCAGTAACAGTGTGCAGAACATTTTTGCGAAAGACATAAATTCTAGCGGTTCATTTTAGGGGAATTATTGGTAATTCTTCAAAAATGATCCAAAAACCCATTTTTTAGATTGTTATCATGAATAGAATTCTCACATTTTAGACATGGAGTATGTTCAGTAAAAATATCACAAACATTATGAGGAACATTTCTGCAAAATATATTAACCCTCTAGCGGTTCGTTTTTGGTACTTTTTCAAAAATGATTAAAAATTCTCATATTAAGATCATAATCCAAAAAGGCTTTAATTTCCAGGAGAATCGCATATTATCGATATGGGGTACGTTCAGCAAAAATCTCACTTTCTTGGGAATCCTTATACTTTTGGTATGGGGTACGTTCAAATACGTTCAACAAACTTTTAGATTATCAGGGGAAAGCATTCGATTTTTTGAGGGCCCCTCTTATTTAGGCAATGGAGTATATAAAATAAACCCCTATCTTAGTCTTTTTTGGTACATTTTCTGAATTTGGTCGAAAATTCCACCTAAAGTCCAATTTTTCGTCTTGTTGCCAATGACGAAAATATAAAAAATAACTATAGGTCACCTCACATAAAAAGTCTCTAAATATAATATTTAACCACGTAGAATCTTCTAAACATATCATCTTCCCAAAACCACTGTATTTATACATTGTTCACATGTCAGTTTACAAAGTTGGTTGCTCTTATTCTGTCAAAGCTGAAAGTAACAAAAAATTTGCAACTATGCAGCATGTCTTACGTGCAAGTAAGTTAGAATTACCGTTAATTAAATGTGTGAAAGTTGTCAGTGTGAGAGTAAAAATAGGAAAAAAAGAAATTATTCTATAGGCATAGGGATTATCAAAGAGATTATACAGAACACAAATATTTTGAGATAGACAAGAAGGGTTTTATAATTTTCATAAGGTGAAAAATTTGAATATTTCAAATTTACCGATTTTAATTTTTTGAGATCTTAATTAAAGCAAAGCGCCTAAAAAAGTATTCATTGTGTTTTGGCCTTGGGGAAAAATATTTGTGAAATCGTTCTTCCTGGTAGGCAATAAAATTCACATAATTGGTTTGGGTATTTTGGCATTCGGTTTCACATTCCAATCCACTAAATTTCATCAATATTTTAAATATTATTAGTGGATCTACTTCATACCCCCTAAATATATTAACAAAAGCAAAGTCAGACAATAAAGGCTTCATTGTGTTTTGGCCTTTGGAAAAATATTTTGGAACAAATACTTCAAGAAATGCAATGGAATTCCCATAACTGTAAAAAATGTGATTTTTTTGACTGACCAACTAAAAATTTATATAAATCCAACCTTAGAGTAAAGCCTCATAGTTAAGTCTTTATTGTGTTTTGGGTATTTAGCAGATCTTTTCACCTTCCGATCCCCTAATTTCCTCAATATTTTAGATACTATTAATGCACTTCTATTTACCATCCACCTTATGAAACTTCCTCAAATGTTTTGGAATCTTTCCAAAAAAAAATTGCCTTTTCTTTTGCCTCGTTCTTAGCGTGTAATCTTTTGGCTTCGCTCGAGACCAGCTACAAATTTGTGCACGATGCCTAAAACTATAATGGCAACAATTAAAGCCAGAGTGTCTTTTGTTTCGTTTCCTTCGTCTATGCAACATGCTACCGTTTTGTTGCAGTTTCATTTGAAATATTTTTATCTCTCGAATTGCCATAGGCTTGAGATTTTGCTGTGATACAGCAAATCTTACGATAGGTATTGTATAAGGGTGGAGTGAAAAAATACAAGAAAAAAATTATTGTAGGAGATAATCTGAATGAAAATTCAAAATATAAAATGACAGCAAATTGGGTTGAAAAATGGGGCCAGAAAATTTCAAAATATCGAAATTTGGGAAGTTCCGTTATATGGGGTCTATTGTAAAAAGTGGACTAATTTTCATAATTTTCGGTATGGAGATTTACTACCCAATGAGAATTCAAAATACCAAAATACAGCCAATTCGGTTGAAAAGGGGGCTCAAGCTCCTCAAAATACTGAATTTTGAGAGGTTCAGCTATATGGAGGCTACCCTAAAAAGTTGACCAATATTGATAATTTTTGGTAGGTAGATTTGACATCCAAAGAGAACACAAAATACCAAATTATAGCCAATTTGGTTGAAAAATGTGCCCAAGCTCCCCAATATATCGATATTTCTGATGTACCATTATATGGTGGATACCCTAAAAAGTGGACCAATATTGATCATTTTTGGTACGGAGATTTGCTACCGCATGAGAACCCAAGATAACAAATTACAGCCAATTAGGCTGGAAAACGTGCCCGAGCTCCCTAATAAAACGAAATTTTCGAGGTACCGCTATATTGTGGCTACCCCAAAAAATAATCCAATATTGATAATTTGTGGTAGGAAGATGGAATAGCCCATGAGAACCCATGATACCAAATTATAGCCAATTTGATTGAAAAACGAGTCCAATCTCCCCAAAATATCGAAATTTGGAAGATATAGTTATATGGAGGCTACCCTTAATAGTGGACCAATATTGATAATTTTGGGTAGGGAGGTTTTCCACCCAATGAGAACCCAAAATACCAAATTACATACAATTTGGTTGAGAAACTTGCCAAAGCTCCCCAATATAACGAAATTTCTTAGGTACCGTTACATGGTGACTACACTGGAACATGGGCCAATATTGATAATTTTTGGTAGGGAGATTTTCTACCTAATGAGAATCCAAAGTACCAAATTACAGCCAATTCCGTTGAAAAATAGTGTCGAAATCCCTAAAATATAGAATATAAGGGGGTTCCGTTGAATCAGGTCTACCCCGAAACTTAGACCAATATTGATAATTTTTGCTAGGAATATTTTTTACACAATGATAACCCATAATACGAAACCACAACCAATTCCGATGAAAAACGTGCCTAAAATCCTCATTATTCTGAAAATTTGGAAGGTTCCGCTATATGGAGGCTACCCTAAAAATTTTACCAATCTTGCTAATTCTTTATAGAGAGGTTTTCCACCTAATGATCATACTTAAAATATCAAATTACAGACAATTTGGTTGAAAAATGGTGCCC